TAAGCATCTACTTAATCTTTTATTCTGTTTAGCAACATTCTGGTGAAAACTTTTCGTCGTACTGATAACAAACTGATGCCTCTGTAATTCTCACATTTGCTTAGATATCATTTCTTTGGTATCTTGATGAGGTATCCGTCTTTGCAGTCTGTTGGCATTTGTTCCTCTTCCCAATTCTTCTTCAATAGAAGGTGAAGCATGTTTGCAATTACTTCTATGTCTGACTTCATTGTTTCAGCTGGTATATTGTCAATTCCCTCTGCTTTCCCGCTTTTGATTTGTCTGATGGTCATCTTTATTTCTTTGATTGTTGGTGGAGTGACATCTATAGGATGGTCAGTGTGCGCTGCTTCGATGTCGGGTGGATTTAATGGAGCTGGCCTATTCAGCAGTTCCCCGAAGTATTCTGCCCATCTTTTCCTCTGTTCTCGAATCTCCGTGATTGTCTTTCCTTCTTTGTCCTTGACTGGTCTCTCTGGTTTACTATATCTCCCTGCTAGTTTCTTCATTGATTCATATGTTTGTTTCATATTCCCTTCTTGTGCAGCTTTTTCCGCCGTCGTTGCTAGTTCTCCCATGTATTTCTGCTTATCGGCCTTAATGCTTTTCTTCACTTCCTAGTTTGTTTCTGTGTATTCAGCTTGTGCGTTGACTTTCGCTGTTCTTGATCGTCTACTGTTATTTGCAGTCTTCTTGTTCTTCTTTTCTTCAATCTTTTCCAGGGTTGCCATAAAGATCCATCCCTTATGATGATAATTCTTGTGGCCCGAAGCCTTCTATATTGAACCTTTGTAGTGCTGTTTGTCCAGTTTTCCAGTGTTTCTTTAGCTTCAGTCTCATCTTGGCCACAACCAGGTGGTGATCTGAAGCTATATCAGCTCCTCTCATGGTTCTCACATCTTCCATTGACCTTCGGAATTTTTCGTTGATACAAATATATGAGCCTCTCATAGAACTGATCTTTATATTTTGTTGACTGCTGTTCATCTTATTTATAAAGTTGATTATTCTGTTTTGATGTATGCTTGGTTGAAAAAATTCAGAACAAAATGCAGTCAGTAGCAGAATGTAGAGTGCCTGTTTCGTCTCATTTAGTACTCGTCAAATGAACTCAGTGTCAATATATACGTTGAACCGGAACAGAGTACCTTTCATTTCATGTGTTTAACTTGTTATCAAGTGAGCTACTGATTTCAAGTACCTTCTAACGTGTTCAACGGATATAGAGCGATTGATAGAGGTTTGACATTGAGGGTTAGATAGGCCGTCCAAAGCAAATGCTTTTAAAACCCATCACCCAACATTATCCCACGTGGTTTTCGTAAGGTGAATGTAAATCAATCAGCAGTTCAATATTAGAACTTGTGAACAGAGTTCACAAGGTTCGACCTGAAATTTTTCTTTTGAAATCATCCATAATATCGGAAGATTCGGTTCGAAAGAAACACAAATTACTATTTACTAACTTAGATTCACAGATGTTTCCCAAGAAGTTGTGACAGAGGGGATTCTACCTTGTCAAGAATGAGGCAGTAATCGACCTATTTATATTGAGTGATCGTCAATCTATTATATTGTGAACGGTGCAAAACTAGATTCTGATTCAGTGATTTGAATGAAAACCCTCTAGCCGTACGAGGCTTGAAGATAGTTGCTACTCATTTTCCGTCAGGTTTCAACAAATACGAGATAGCTGTCCAGTGCTCTATGATTTTCATTTGTTGTTCAGCTGTCTTCAGGTAAAAACATTCTTCTTCTTTGGTGTGAAGGTGTTTTTATAAAAATCACTCCTGTATTGATTCACCTACTATGACTGTTGTTGTTTTGAACTTTAATACTCATATTTGTGTATAAAATTCAGTACACCATAATCAGTCTTATTTTATGTAGTCTGATTATTAACAACCAAACGGTGTCTTTTGTTTATTCTACCATAGTTGAAAATAGTCAGGTATTTTGATTTAACTAAATTATATGGTAAACCGGTCATCTGTACAGAAATTTACTTCATTATAAAAGAAGTACAGTTTAGTTTGTTTTCTTTTGAACGAAAAATAATCATACATAAGGCTACAATGCACCTATGAAGTAATTAGAGGTATTAATTTTATGACTATTACTTTTTAAAGCAGATTGTAATCATTGTAAGATTATTTAAACCATTGTCACAACCATGGTAAGCAAAGATGGATAGTGGCTAGCAGTGGAATCCAGGACTCGCGTTTCGACCTATTCGGGACTCGTCAGCTGGATATACCTGCATTGTCACAACTAATTATTCAAAGTTAAAGTATCTAATGTTTCAGGGATATTCACTGAGATGGTAACATATTCTAATAATGAGGTGTAATCTAAAAGAATTTTGATGGATAACGTGTTATTGTTTATTGCAATGGGTTTTGACTTCTAGTCCTAGTGTAAAGGCCAACATTGTAAGGTGAAGAAATCCTACATAGAACGAAATTAGAAGATTCCTCAATCATACTGCTCTCGTTAAACCAAACAGGTTAAAGTCTGAAAATAATATTTATACGATTCTCTCAAGATGCAGATATGTCAATAGAGAGACTATAATATCAAAAACAAGAGAATTTAAGACTAAATATCTTAAGAGATTGAAAGTTTGTACGAAATTCTTTATTGTTCATGTATATCTGACTGTGAATAGGGTATTGTTTTTTCACTCAGTTACATTTGTCTAATGTAGAACTATCAAAAGCACAATTGTAACGATGCAAATTAAATTTAAATTAATTCAGTATTTTTTGTTTGAACCTTCCCATCGATTTGTTAGGACTGCAACTGGTCAGTCTCTAATTGGCATATGTGCATACTGTGCGTATTGCCTCAATATGGCCTTAATTCACAAGCATGGTAAGCAGAGATGGATAGTGGCTAGCAGTGGAATCCAGTTTGACGCGCGTTTCGTCCTATTTGGGACTCGCCAGCTGGATGTAACTGCATCTCAGAGCTGATGTTCACTCTGGGACTCGAACCCAGTACCCTCGCTTCAAACGCCATTGCATTATCCACTCGGCCACTGCGTCCTGATAGACATTTGCTTGTGCGATGGGATGAAGTTTATATTCACTCAGTATTGTTTGTTTGAATCTTCCCATCTCTGCTTGTGAATTAAGGTTATATTGAGGCAATACGCACAGTATGCACATATGCCAATTACAGACTGACCAGTTGCTGTCCTAAAACATCAATGGGAAGATCCAAACAAACAATATTAAATAAATTTCAACTTCACCCCATTGCACAAGCAAGTGGCTATCAGGACTCAGTGGCCGAGTGGATAACGCGATGGTGTTTGAAGCGAGGGTACTGGATTCGAATCTCAGAGTGAACATCAACTCTGAGATGCAGGTACATCCAACTAGCGAGTCCCAAATAGGACGAAACGCGCGTCAAACTGGATTCCACTGCTAGCCACTATCCATCTCTGCTAACCATGCTTGTGAATTAAGGCTATATTGAGGCAATATGCACAGTATGCACATATGCCAATTAGAGATTTACCATTTGCAGTCCTAACAGATCGATGGTAAGATTCAAACAAACAATACTCAATGAGTTTAAATTGATTATAGTTTTTGATTAAGTTTGGTAATTGTCTAATAGATCAGAGGAGTTTTTGTGTAGAATTTAGTATTTTCACAGTAGAAATCATGAGTCAATTGAAGCTAGACCACCATCGAAATCCTGGAAGCACTGGACGGCCGTTTCGTCCTATCATGGGACTCCTCAGCAGTGCGCATTTACGATCCCGCACCCGTCTAATAGTAGAATCCAGGATGAATATCATTTCATTTTATTTGAAATTTTATCAACTGCATATCAAAGTTGATATTCATATTGAAAAACTTAAACCTATTACTTAAAATCACTTAGTATTGTTTGTTTGAATATTTCCATTGATGTTTAGGATTGAAAATGAACAGTCTCTTATTGGGATATGTGCATACTGTGCTTATTGTGTTCTAAAGTGAACATTAATTCTGAGGTGTAGGTACATTCAGCTGATGAGTCCCCAATAGGACGAACGCGCATCTTGAATTCCACCGCTAGCCACTCTCCATCTTTGCCTATTACTTAAAACTTTAAAGATGTATTGTATTATCTACTGAACTATTAAGTTCAAAACATTACTGTCATTATTCAAGAAATATAATACTGATATGATGGATAATAAGAGTTTGAGTTATTCTAAATAATAATAACAAAATAACTTAAACTCTTACTAATAATGACAGAATGAAAAGTTTGTATGAGATAAAATCTTATTCTATTCTTGTATTTTGACCATTTAGTATTACCAGAATACACCAAATATTATTAACATCATCATTATCAGTAGACTAAATATTTTTTCCTAAGGCAATTAAGATGAATCAAAATCTACATGGACTTATAGATTATAAATGGTTGAAATCATGAGTCAATTGAAGCTAGACCACCATGAAAAATCTGGAAGCACTGGATGGCCCTTTCGTCCTTTTTTTGGAACTCCTCAGTCGTTCACATCCACGATCTCCCCTCGCGAGAATCGAACCCGGAACCTATCAGTCTCACGTGCGAGCGCTTAACCTGTAGACCACTGATGGTGGTTAGAAGTGGAACACAGGACGTGTGTTTCGTTCTATTAAGGACTCATTAGTCGGATGTACCTGCATCCCTGAGTTTATATTCACTCTGACACTCAACTCTAAGCTAGTATCTATCTGAACTAAATAGCTAATTGGATAGTGTGATGAAGTTTGAAATGAATAGTACTAGGTTTGAGTCCCAGGGTGAACATCAATTCTGAGAACCAGCTACATTCAACTGATCAATCCTAAATAGAAAGAAATGAATATCCTAGATTCCACTGCTAGTAACCATCTATCTTTGCTGACAATAATCGATATAATTTTCTTTATAATCTTATTATTTTTTAACTCGTAAAGTATATTGAATAAAATTTTTGTTTTTTTTTTATAATAAAAATATTTTAGGCATTGAAATTCTTATCTGATCAACATTTATATGAATGCAATCAGAATTAAAAAATAAAAAAAAGACTTGGTTCATTTCATCAATCAAATTATCAATCATATTTGATTATTTTAGTACAATTTCAAGTGAAACAGTAAACCAATTAAAAACAAAAATTCATCCAATTGTTGTGTATCTAACATAATCTACTTATAATTGATGATATACTACTTATATACATGTATTTATTCAAGTTATAAACAATGATTTGTAAATATGATACATTTAAACAAAAAAAAAATAATTTTCACATTTAAAAAAAAATAATTTAACAATATAAATATTAATCAATATTAATTAAGAATTAAGTTAATGACATTTATTACTTAATTACCTAATTAATTAATTAATTAAATAATTAAATAAATAATTAGATAATCAAGATTACAGATATGAATGATTTATATAAATAAATAAAAAATAAACAAAACAAATACAGAAATTATCAATTATTATTATTATTATTATTATTGATCTGATAATTATGATCCTATTTGTATATTGATTTAATTGATCAATCAAACAAATCAGATCAACAACAAAAAATGATTATTATTATTATTCTATTCATAATTACAAATTATTGTATAACAGCTCAAAATAATACAAATAATAATATGGCTGATAATTACAATACTACTACTATCAACAATAGTACCGTTATGAATGTTAATGCTACTAATACTATTAGTAATAATAATTTAAGTACAGGTGGATTAATTGGAATAATCATTGGTATGGTTATTATCACTACAATAACTAGTGAGCTAAAAAATATTTTATTTGCATGTATATATATATGTATATATATATATTATAGGATAATTTTCTTGATTCTCGTGGTTGAAATCATGAGTGAATTGAAGCTAGACCACTATGGAAAACCTGGGAGCACTGGACGGTCGTTTCGTCGTATTGTCGGACTCCTCAGCAGTGCTCATCCACGATCCTGCACTCGCGAGATTCGAACCCAGGACCTACCAGTCTCGCGCCGGAACACTTAACCGATGGACCACTGAGCCGGTATCCAACAGTGTTAATGTCTAACTTTAACCAATCGACGAAGTTTGAGCAACCGTTGACCAATTGTCTTCAATGAGTTGTTATCTCACAACAGACATGGTTTGAACTCCACTGGTTACTGCTTCTCATTAGAACTCCAGGACGTATATCAGTCACTAGTGAGCATATGATTATAACCAGGAGAGGTTTTTGTGGAGATTTTAGTATTTTCATAGTTGATATCATCACTCAATTGATGTTTATAACGTTTAAATTTTGTTTAGTGAAAAGCATCAGCTCTTAGTTTAATAATATATGTCTTAACTACTTTAGCCGATGTATGTTCACTATCCTATCATATAATTTGTCATATTTAATAAGTACTTTATGCCTAACTTTGTTATTGATCCGAAAAATAATTGGATAATAAATACATTGAAGATACCAATGATTGAATATAAGTAATTGACAAATACGATATATTCTTAATGGTAATTTTTGGGCATTGTCATACTAAATAGAGAGAACTGTTCAGTATGTGACTAGTCCTTTAGTTAGTAGACAGATATTTGACTTACGCCAACATTGAGATCATATGTTAAGTGTTGTTTATATTCATGTTTAACTTATAAAGCCTAACAACCTTAGACTATGTTCAACAATTTCGGACAATGTCTGACAGTTTAAATTCCTTGAGTATTGTTTGTTTGAATCTTCCCATCGATTTGTTAGGACTGCAACTGATCAGTCTCTAATTGGCATATGTGCATACTGTGCGTATTGCCTCAATATAGCCTTAATTCACAAGCATGGTAAGCAGAGATAGATAGTGGCTAGCAGTGGAATCCAGTTTGACGCGCGTTTCGTCCTACTTGGAGCTCGTCAGCTGGATGTGCTTGCATCTCAGAGTTGATGTACACTCTAAGACTCCAATCCAGTACCCTCGCTTAAAACGCCATCGCTGCTTACCATGCTTGTGAATTAAGGCTATATTGAAGCAATGCGCACAGTATGCACATATGTCAATTAGAGACTGACCAGTTGCAGTCCTAAAACATCAATGGAAAGATCCAAACAAACAATACTAAATAAATTTCAACTTCACCCCATTGCACAAGCAAGTGGCTATCAGGACTCAGTGGCCGAGTGGATAACGCGATGGCGTTTCAAGCGAGGGTACTGTATTCGAATCTCAGAGTGGACATCAACTCTGAGATGCAGGTACATCCAGCTGACGAGTCCCAAGTAGAACAGTGTTTCGGAATTAATCTTAAACTAAGAGTGATTTATTATGAATAGTTTTGTCATTCTTGTGTTGATATTTAATAAATGTTGGATGTTAATGATAATTTATATGTGTGTATAGATTAAATTCGGATTTCTATCACTGTCAGTGAGATTATCATGACTTTGATTGTTAACTGATGCACAACTCCGTAGTAAAATAGGATTCATCTTTACTGTTAATAAAAATCTGGAAAGATAAAATTGTCATTTGCAGAAACGGTAATAACAAGTTACAATTTCTTTGTTTTATATCACGAACTGGTATTAGTTAGACCACCATTGAAAACTTGGAAGCACTGGATATCTGTTTTGCCCTTGCATTGGACTACCGCACAAAATAGGTCATTGAAGAGCAGTAAAACCAAAAGCAGCTAACCCGAGGTCAGAGGGGCAGAGTCGTACTGCTGACAGTACAGAGGTGTGAAGGCAATAAGGTGTTTACTTCAGACACTCAGCACAACAGAGACTCTGCCTTCCCACAAAGAAGGGTGGGATTAGAAAAGATCGACCCTAAAAATTCACACCTCACCTCATCCCACGGGTCTCCGTCTCCGGAGGTAAGTTCCCAACAAGTGTGTAGCTAACACAACAACTATTCCCAAGAAGGTCGTGTGTGATAGACATTAAGCAGCACACCAAGAAGACCCATTAGAATTGATCTGAGTGACGAGAAAGCCAAAAGTAGATTCCAAGAACGAATTTGGTCATACTTAGTCAGTTCTGAAAACTAGGCTTACCTGGATGTTGCATGGAAAGATATACGAACAGCTGTGGAAACAGCAGCAACATCTATTAGTGATTGAGACTAGAGCGTCACGGGAAATCAGTGGATTTCTTCTAAGTCTATTGCACTGGTAGATTATCGTAAACTCATACCATCAGACTCTAAACATGATGAAGAGCGAAAGCAAATCAGTTCTAGGTTAACCAAAAGTCCAGAATTCTAGAACCATTGACGGAACACTTAAAGACGTAGTTCGACTGACCTTCATTTACTCTACAATTACCCACCATTCCCAAACAGCCTGGATAGGATGCTGAAGTAGCCCTCCCCCTTGACTAAAACTAAAGTTCGAAAAGCTATAGCTAATCTGGAACGAGGAAGAGGCTCCAGAGGTCTTTAAGGATAGTGGTCTATTTTTAGCGTTTAAGTTGACTAATATGTTAGCTGAAATCCGGTAGTTAGACGTAATCCCATCTGACTGGTTGCAATCACTGATTGTCACAATATATGAGAAGGAGTAAAATTCATCCTGTGATAACCGTTAAAGGATTAATTTGACCAACAAAACATCTAAAATACTAGCCTCACTAATTATCGAGCGCCTGACTAAGACTCGTGAACTGCAAACACGAGAAAATCAGGCTGGCTTCAGACCTGGTCGTTGCTGTATCGACCACTTATTCACAACTCGTCGGGCTTAAGAACACTCGCATACTTATCAGCGTCCAACAATGATAGTTTTTCCTGACTTAGAAGTAGCATTGGACTCTGTAGACTGAGAGGTTCTGTGGCAGTGTCTGTCATTGAAAGATGTACCTCAGAAGTACATTAACCTTATGAAGGCTCTTAACTGGAACACTACCAGGCGAGTGAGAGCTTACGGCGAACTGTCATCTGATTTTGCAACCTCAAGTGATGAACGACATGTCTGTCCACTATCTCAATTTCCGTTTAATTTCATCATGTACCTACTGCTGGAAATAACGCTCTCGTCGACTGAATTTTCAGGAATTGATCTCCTACCAGTAGGTCCTGTTATCGACTTAGAATACGCAGACGACATAGTTCTGTTTTGTGAAGACCCTGATGAAATACAGGGCCTTTTGGTAACACTGAGTAACAATGCAAGAGTGTTTGGGATGCGTCAGGTACATCAATAAAAGCCAACACAGTATGAAATGACTTAGTATTGTTCGTTTGAATTTTCCCATTTATGTTTAGGACTGCAACTGGTCAGTCTCTAATTGGCTTATGTGCATACTGTGCGTATTGTCTAGATATGGCCTTAAGTCACAAGCAGTTGCAGTTCTAAACAATACTAAATGATTTTAAACTACACCCAACTTCACAAGCAAGTGGCTATCAGGACTCAGTATCTGAGTGGATAACGCGATGGCGTTTGAAGTGAAAGGTACAGGGTTCGAGTCTCAGAGTGAACATTAACCCTGAGATGCTGGCACGTCCACCTGACGAGTTTCAAATAGGACGAAACGCGCGTCAAACTGGATTCCACTGCTAGCTACTATTCATCTTTCCTTACAAGAGTATGAAATGATAAATTTATTTCATATTTATCTATAACTAACTATGGAACCTATAACTTGCAGTTTACTGAATCATGAAATATTCAATTTGTTTAATTGTAAAAATAGAGAATTTTCATCGAAATGTCCAATTATGGTACATCCCTGTGTAGATTTTTTTCAGACTCAATATCAGATATACTCAAGTAGTTGTTTATTTACTTAAGTAATATGTGATAATTAGTCAGTAAATAGTTTTGTTAAATAAATGAAGAAAGCTCTCAAAAGATAACAATTCATGTATATTCATCAAACATTTGATTGATAAAATATTTAGAATCTTTCTGTCAAGACAAGGTGTTAGTTTCAGTATTTGAAAGAAAACAGAAATATGAAACAATTGTTATTGGGTAATAGTGTGACCGAGGACTAGCTTTACGTTCTATCTGGATGTACTTACCATATCCTCGTGTAAATTGTTTCGAGATAAAAAAAAACACACTGAAATCGAGTATTCGTAAGGACACTAACACAAGGCTGTAACAGGTGAATATAGTCGACGAGTCCCGAACTGGAAGAAACGCACTTCCTGGATCCAAATACTATTCACTACCTAATTTTGCTTAAAGTGCTCGTGTCTTGATGATAATATTGAGGTAATCCGTTCAGATTACACATATATTGTTCGCTTACAAACACCATAATGTTACGGACATAGCTATTTAATCCTGATAGCCACTAACTTGTACTGTTGGATGGAAGTATATCCAGCTGATAAGTCACAAATATTATGAAATACGCGTTCTAGATTTCAGTGTTAACCACCATCCATTTCTGCTTATAATGCTTGTGACCTAAGGCAATATTAAGGCAATCCGCACAGGATGCACAATTGCCAATAAGAGGCTAATCAATCTGAAGCTTTAAACAAGTCATACGAAAATGAATCATTTACATTTTTGTTTGAATGATAAGTTATGGTGTCTTGAAACTGTTATTTGATATTTATTCTTTTTTATATTTTCACATTTTGTATATCTTTCATTAGTATTATGGCTAATATTAATTTTGTAATAATCTCTTCATACCTCCAAGTACTTTTCTATTAAGTATCTACTTCATAAACTATAGAATGCAACAATGCTAATACTAGCTTCCATTTTATGAAACTCATCAAGTCAATAAACTTTAAGTACAAATACTCGATTTATCAATTCAAATGTATT